TACTCAGATAATCACATTTAGTTAACGAATAAGTAAATATTATAATCTGTCGTTATTATCTAGGTCAATAATTACTAGAAGATAACATATCATTTTAATGTATAAAATTGAAAAGAGTATAACTAAAGACAAATATTGTGCACTCGATGAAAAAATCTTTCTTAATCTTAATCTTTCAATGTACAATTTGGAATTATTAACATTATGTGTGCATAACCATGCGCATTAATTCGAAATAAGTTTAACAAATAAAGAATTTACGCACAACGAATGGTATTTTAATATTAACTCGATAATGTGATTTTTTTTAAATAAAATAATCTTGTTAATATATATACTACGATTAATAGAAATAGTTGAAAAGATAAAACTGAGTAGGTACTAATCTCCAAATAGATAATTTTTAAAATGTTTTCAACCATATTCAAACTTTTTCATAAAAACATAATTAACGTACACGTTGATGTAATATAGTATATTACCAGTTATATAATGCATTAGTTTTATTTTATAACGATACCACATCTACTTTATTGAATAAAACAATATAACAAAAATTGATAAAAATAAAACATAAACGAATAAGCACAAAATGTAATTAGCGATGATAGTTTTGGATTCATCTGTAAAATGATTACCAATTAAAAGCATATATAATCTCTAAAATTATGGTAATACCTCGGTACAAAATATCTCCATTATGAATATTAATATTAAATTTAATATTGGAATTCAAAATCACTATACATAATAAAAGGAAACTTTCTCGTACATTTGATCTGAAAGCCACTTACCATAAATAACAGCAAGGCCAGTTTCATGAAGGAACCTTAGTCGTCTATGCTTAAATGTCCAAACGGTGAGCACAGTTACAGTTAGTAAAAATGTGTAGAGTAGAAGATTAAGGCTGTCGAGTCTATGGAGATACTGAGCTTTAGCATCGAGCTCAATATCGGTAGCAGCTCCATGGCAATATCTGACCACGAGGAGAGCGAACACCAAAATATCTGCTCTTATTGTCATTCTATCTCAGGATATCTCACACACTGAGACACACGCACATACACACCAAAATATTAAAAGCTCTTAAAGCGCCTGCATAGAGACTTAAATTTGTTAAATTAATGTAATCACAACATGAAGAAGATTAGCCCGAGATCCTTCAGCAACTAATTGTTTTTGCAGTTTTATTATTCGTGTATGACAGTGTTAATACGCTGCTTCAATGCTGTTTGCCTCGTCACTATTAATATTCATTTTCGGATTGTACTGCACGACCTTATCATTCTCAGCTGCCAAAGTCTTATGAGCAGTCTTGCTTATGAGTCGGTACAAATTCCTCCTTCTTCTCTCTCGCCGTCTTTCTTTGATTTCCCCCTCTCTCGCTTAACCCTTTTATTTATTGACGACGCATGTCGGTGATGACTAATCGTATGGCGAAGAAGACCATTCGCCCAGTGGTTATTGACGTAATTGAGGTACTAGCGGAGCACAAAATTTCAAATAGTAGTGCAATCATCGTGATTATTAAAATAATTTATTTAAAAGTTCACCATTATGAATGCATATGCTTATGCATATATATATATATATATATATATATATAGAGAGAGAGAGAGAGAGAATGAAATGCTTAGAGCCTCGATTTTATATTCAAGGTGATAATACCGTACTATCGGATAAAAAGTTATTATTGAAGTTTGAATCGGATATAAGTTATAAGTTATGCGTACAGTTTATGATTTATCATTCCAAGAGATTTTAATACCTATGCACTCGCTAATTAGCTTTACATTGGATTTCAAAATCATTTTTAAATGCTTTTTTCATAAATATATACGTGCATAATTTTACTTTATCCGTAAGATCGGGAACTTGCAAGTTATGCTTGCGCATATATTTGAAGCTTAGTAAGCTGATTGTGTGACGGTCAGGATAACCGTTGTTCTCCGTATTTCGTATTACTTTGATTTTTATATTAAATAGCGCTGCTATGTATGAAAATAACTTGAATTATTAATAACAAACTCAATTGTAAAATGAACACTCGCTATTAATAATAATAATATATATTTACTTCATTTATTTATTGCTTTCACTTCAAAGCTTATTCATTAAATATTCACTACAAATGAAAATATATATGACCCATGTTTACAAGGTGCTTAATAGATAACTTATTAGACTATTATCACTATTGTACGTAATTAAATAAAATAACTAATTTTTCTTTTGTATAAACATCTATTATTCTTTAAGAAATAGTAATAATTTTTAAATCTCTGTCACTCTTAGTCTATATAGAAGAACTTTGATTCCATTAGCTACCAGTATATTATAGGGTTGCGTTCGCGCGCGCTTCTGTCCTCACTTACGCGCGCATGCATATTCTATACATACGCTCGCTCGCGCGCGCGCACACACACACACACACACGCGCGCGCGCGCGCACCCAATCATATATACATATCTATATGTATATCTATGCAGATTCTACATTATTAATGCTCAATTGTTTTATTGTCTGTACTTTAGTACTGCACTATGCATTTCTTCATCTTTACCCTGACAAATCCCCTTGGACGTTAAAAAGTAGCAAAAATGTATTTCCCCTTCTCGTGAAATGTAAGATGCACGTGTGCTGAGTTCTGACTTTTCGTCGGCGACAAGTGAAAGAAGATGGCTTTTAAAATGCTTTTGAAGCTTGGCGGCTTAGAAGTTAGATGAAAAAGTAAATTTCTATTTTCCGTGCATTATCATCTTGTCGTATAAATGAGGAAAACGTCATGGTGGTTATGAAAACTCATTTGGAGAATAGATCCTCCATTTGCCTTCGCAAATACAGGATATTTTTTGTGTTTGGTTTAGTGCTACTTTGTACCCAAGTCTATCTAGCATACACCTTTCTTGCACTGGAAAATGAAAATCAAGAAAAGATAGGAAAACCGTTGATAAGTGGGGTAATGCAATACATTTACTTTACTTGCTGCTTATGTAATTATTGATTTTAATAGTTTGTGTGTTTGTTTAAGAGAATCCTTTGTTATTTAAACGCTGCTTGATATATGCTCTCCTTCAATTTTAATTACTTTAGCAGCCTAGTAAATTTCTTTATTGAATGTATGTTTAAAGTAATGTTGTTTTGTAAATGACATCCAACCTATCATTATTCAATTATCTTTCCATCTATATAATGATTTTTTATTATTGTTACTTTATATATATATATATATATATATATATATATATATATATATATATATAGATTTAAATTGTGTACTATATTATTAAGTTGGTTTAAATATAAGTTTGGTAATAACATTTTTTTTTTTTTTAAATGCCAATTGTATTAATAGGAAATGTTTTGAATCGTAGAACAATTTCATTATTAAAGTCTATTCGAGCGAGGAAAGAAAGTAGTTTTGTAGAAAATGGGTGGTACTGTAATAAGAATGGTTTAACCAAGTTTAATCTTAATATACTTACGTAGTTCCATTGTATTTTAAAAAGTAATTTCAAGTTGATTCTATCAAATTCAATCAATTTTGTTAACACTTGGTTATAAAATTAAGCGATTGAATAAATATACATATATAATGCAGTATTTAAATAAAATTTGAATTAATTTATATTTAATAAAAACAATATAAATAGTTCTTAATAATACATTATTCTTGAGATAACGGAGTATTGTGTGATTAATCAAATTTTCAGTTACTCTTTAGTTTTAATGCAGAATGAATATAGTCGATATTATTGTTAACTATTATATAAAGGACTACCCGAAAATATGAGAAATTTGATGGATTATGGTCTATATCGAAATGATGATTCTGACATATTACTTTTATTTTAGAATGATATTTCGCAAGACGAAGAGGACGAAGGATTACCAAAAGGAACCCGCCAACTGAAATTACCACCTGACAAGCAAGGCGGTCTTAACAAGCCTTTAAATCATAATCGTACTACTAGAATAAAACTCGATTGCAAATCTCTCAGTTTTGTACCTGTGTGCGAAGTCACTGGTATGAAAAATTATTGCTGTATCTTGCCAACTTTAAGCGTTAACTAATTAAAAATTGTGCCAAGTTAATGGGATATTTGACGTTAATTGTTAGAAAAACAAACAAAGCAGCAATTAATGATTCATTTAGCTCCGATTATAACTGACTAGTGGTATTTGTAATTTTAGGTAGAGAAGCAGTTAGTGCCATTACTAGAGCACAAAGTCAAATGTGTAAGGAGCGCATTGTCAATGTGACGTGCCTTAGTCAGCAAAATTTGCTATATCCTATAAGGTTACAGTCTTCCTGCCCACATTCGCTGGGCTTTGTTGGCATACCTAAAAGCTTGGGATGCTTCAAAGACGATAAGATATCTAGGTTGCTACCAAATTATTATACTGTTTTTAAGACTTACAATTCGCCGGCACATTGCGCTTACATGTGTCTACAGTCTGGTTTTCCTTACGCTGGCGTTGAATATTCGTAAGTTATTGCTTAACGATACTATTTGAAGCACGGTCTAATAAGATACCATTTATTCATATAAAATGACATTGGAAAGATGACAATTTCACATTTTAAATTGTTTAGAGATATCCGTGGTCTATGATGGGATTTGTTATTAGTTTGTTATTATTTGATATTGTTTAGAGACCTTTTTGTCCTTCAAATTTAAACGTCATTTCACACTTTGGCCTCTTGTATCTTACTTGTATCGTTTCAGGCTGGAATGCTTTTGCGGTAAAGAGGAGCCCTCGAAGGCAAACCAACTGCCGGATTCAAGCTGCAATATGCAATGTCCTGGAGATTCGAAACAATCTTGCGGTGGATACTTGGCTATGAACGTTTTCTCAACGGGCATACAAAGTACGTAGCCAAAAGTATTGCCAAAACTTTTTGCTTCTTCCCCCCTAACATTATGTATTGCAAACATTGCAGGATTTAAGCCGCAGGAAGCAAGGAATTCCAGTTTAAAAAGTGCCGACAAAACACCAGTTAAAATTGCATATCTGTTGACCGTTAATGGCAGAGCTGTTCGACAAGTGAAACGCCTCATTAATATTCTTTATGATTCGTCGCATTTATTCTACATACACGTTGATGCGGTAAATATTTAAATGGGATAGATTGTTAAAAAATTTTTAAAATATTTTTACAACGCTAGGGAAACAATAGAAAGAGATCGTATGGCTCGTTTATGTAAGCGGTAATAAAGATTCGGCACGAACAATTATTACATAAAGATTTTTCATAATTCATAAAAATTGTAAGGCCGATCATTGCTTATAGGATTATGAACTTGAGCAAACGAGAGTCACATTGACTTTTACATTTTACCTTGAGTCTCATCCTCTAACTACATGCTAATCCATGTTATTAAAGGTGCATATTACCAGGACGCACGGTTTCATCAAATTGTTCTGCATTGCAGCGGCAAGATTACATGTACAGGGAGCTGCTGAAGGTCGAGAAAAATTGTAAAATGAAGAATATAATAGTGGCCAAGGGTCCGGAGCTGCGTCATGCGAGTATCTGGGGCGGTGCGAGTCTCCTTACGACTTTCCTCACTTCGGCTCGCCACATGCTCCTCCATTCCAAGAGCTGGGATTTCTTGATTAATTTGTCGGAGTCGGACTACCCGATCAAGACGAACGCGCGCCTCGTCGAGTTCCTTACGTGGAACAGAAATATGAATTTCGTTAAATCTCACGGGCGGGAGGTTCAACGATTTCTCACTAAGCAGGTACGCAGATACCAGAAGTAGGCAGCACTTGGACGATTAAAAATGTAATAGATTAAGAATGTACTAGACGTAAATTTTATCATATATATTGCTTCCATTTTGAAGCGTTTGCTGTAACAGCAATCCTCGATGTTAACCGACCATTATATTACAAAAGCTCGATCTATGAGACGCTATTCCATCGAATGTGCCGAAACATCGACCCAAATTGAGCTTAGAAACTTACTTGACAGGGCCTGGACAAGACGTTCGTGGAGTGCGAGGCTCGCATGTGGCGCGTTGGCGAGCGGAAACTACCATACGGCATACAAATTGACGGGGGTAGCGACTGGGTAGCGCTGTCCCGCGAGTTTGTCGAGTACGTCGCCAACCCGGAGCCGGACGACCTCGTCGCTGGCCTCCTGCGGGTCTTCCGCTACACGCTCCTGCCCGCCGAGTCCTTCTTCCATACGGCGCTACGCAACTCGCGCTTCTGCCCGACCTACGTCGACAACAATCTCCACGTGACCAACTGGAAGCGCAAGCTCGGCTGCAAGTGCCAGTACAAAGCCGTGGTCGACTGGTGCGGTTGTAGCCCCAACGACTTCAAGCTCGAGGATCTCAACAGAATTATGAACACGGCCGACAGGAACCTCTTCTTCGCGAGGAAGTTCGAGCCCGTGATCGACCAGAGGATCATCGACCGGCTGGATCAGTGGCTGTACCCGGAGAGAATGAACACCAGCGTCAAACTGGTCAGAAGCTTTTCAGAGTCTGCCATTTCGGAGGCCCTTTGGCCTTCCTTACGTTTGTTCGCTTCGTACTTTGCGCTTGACCAACGATCCCGCTTACCTCATTCGGTCTTTGATTGTAAACGATCGCGCATTACTCGCAATCTCCCGCCAATTAATTAATTAATTAATCCCTTCGTAGTCGTCCATACATAGGCTTTGCTCATCGATGGAATTGAGAATAAAGCTCTTAAAATCATGTGGCACGTGGCCGAATATTTTACGAAAAACGTCGTAAATCCATTAATCAATCACTAATCAATCACTAATCAATCACTAATCAACCACTAATCAATCACTAATCAATCACTAATCGATAATAATATATTGTTTTAAATTACAATGCCAATATAAATATTGCAAACTTTACGTGGTGATAAGTCGCTGCTCTAGGTGCCGCACGCGCGCGCGCGCGCACACGCACGCACACGCACGCACGCACGAACGCACACACACACGTCACTGACAATTGTCAATTTTGTCGATTGACCGATGTTTCACTGCCGCCACATTATATTATAACGTCATTAATAATCACAGTTGTGCTCATTTATATCGATTGGGCCGTTATTATTGAAACGTAATGCAACTTTTCATGCTATTGCAGACGACCATTACCAAGGGCTACGACGCATACTGGCAGAGTCTCTACCACCACGAGGATACGAGTCCCCTTGCCGACGATGCCCTCCTCACTATATCCAACTCCTTGGCGCGTCTCGCTTATAGGCGCCTCGGCGACCTTGGTAACGCGGACGACAAGAGCGTGCACCTCCTCGAGATCACGGCCTACTTCAAGGAGAACCACTTTGCTGGCGTTCTTGTGCGAGCGAGCTCCGATCGATTTGCCCTGGAGTCATCGACGCTTATGGTACGCGATTTATCGCCAGCCACTCTGTTACTCTTACGGCAACGTTACTATTCCGATCGAATGGGGAAATTCGTCATTCGAGTAACGTCGATTGCGTTGTGAATTAATTTTTTTTTTTTCATCAAGAAGAGCTATAAGTACAGAATGTAAAAATGACCAGTACGATATAATACACGCGTGATGATTCATTGGCTTGAAAATTGAAATTATCTCGGCCATATTATGTTTGTAATGGTAGCCGAATTGTCGAAACAGGCAGTTGCGGTAGACGAAATGCCTTGACGACGTCCAGCATCGTCAACTTGGATCGATCAATTACCTCTCAACTCACGTAAAAGCATTCGTCTATGCGCCGACAATGTATCAATTAGTATAAATCATACGCGTAACTCGAATAACTCGGCGCAATCATAGTCATAATTACTACGTAATAGCAAGAGTCAGTCGAATGGTCCAATGTCATGAACATAAAATGTTTGGAAATAACTTTTTACGATTTTACATAAATTTGACGAATTTTTTCTTCGCGATTTTTCTATTGCAAGCCCGCGTACTATTTTGTACTCGGAAGTTATCGCATAAATGTCCATTAAATGTCCATTAGTGACTGGCTTGTCGTCTCACACCATTTCTCAAATTCCTTCAAACGAATTAATTATAAATGTCGTTATATCGACAAGGCGTTCACGTCGACAATCGATTAAATCATCGATTAATTCAGTCTCCAAGCCAGTGAACGATTAATGGATAAAAGAGGGGAAAGAAACAAACAAGATTTAATATATTTACGTCCATTAGCAGACAGAGTTACCCGAGCAATTGGAGGCATTGGTTTACTCGAGGCGGAACCTATCGATGAGCAAATCCTGGCTGGGGAAAATCGTGAGCTTGACGGTGAATACGGAATACGATCAAAAGGAGCAGATGTTCAGGAACTTTTTGGGAGGTATTGGGCCCCTCTCCAGTCCAGTCTTTGCCTATGAGTTCGATGCAAATGTCATAGCGCCATTGAATCTCACGATCTTATGGCTTGATCCGGTTAATCGACTGGCCGAGGTTAATCAATTGCGAATCGAGGAATCGAATTTGGTAAGTTACGTTCTCATCGACTTTCTTTCATATTATACTTTTACACCTTTTTGTTGTTGTTTTTGGTCGCGTCGAGCTTAGATCTCTATCAGAGCGCGTAATCTAGCAATTTTCAATCAATAATTTTAGCCCTGAGAAGGATAGGCGTGGGTAATTTTTAATTTTTTTTTTTTTTTTTTTTGTTTAATAATTTCAATTTTAAGAAAGTAGATAAAAAAAATAATGTAGATTTGCTTAAAAGTTAGGGGCGCCAATTGAGAAGCTATAATAATAGATTAATTTCATCGATCGTCAAGAATGCAGAACCGTGGTCGATTGGAAAGTAAAGCCTCGAAAGTACGCGAGAAGCCAGAAATCGAAAACGACAAATCATCATCGTCTCACACATTGGCTTAATAAATAAATATGCGCAGATTGGACACGTGAAGCCACAGCTGAGCGAGCCCCTGGCCATTGGGGTCTGGCGCCTCTTCCTCGTCCTTGATTCCAAGGTCGTTGCCAAGTTACGCTTTCTCGTTGTGCCGCTGACGCATTGGAAAAATCGGCCAATTAGCTTGGAGAAGGCACGCGAGCTAAATCGCGACTCCACGACTGGATACTACTTAACCAAGGATACGGTCAATCTCTGGCTCAAGTTCCTCAAAGCCCACCTGACGCTAAGGCAGCTCAGTCGCGCCAGCTCAGTGGTAAGAATCTTTTTCATTTTCACGTGTCATTTTCACGATAAAGAACAACGCTGGCTATGTGTGTTATGAGGGCGGGGGGAGGCGATCACTTACACTCTTCGCTTCTCGTTCGGGTCACCAATGAGCGTAAGTACTACGTTTCGTCTGCAAGTCCATCGAGCGAACAATCCAAAGATTTATATATTCTAATATAGCGACTAATTGCATATAAGCATATATCTTTCGTTTATTCTTTATTCTATTCGTAGTTTATACTAATTAAATTACGAATAAATGTATTTGAGTATCGAGTATTTTAATGAGTCGTTATCGAAAACACAGCCGTTTAATTTAGTTTAGTAATAATTCTGCACCAACACGATAAAAAAACAACAAACAAACCTTGCGCTCTACACATGAAAATCAAAGGAATTTGAAGAAGCTTAAAAAAAAAAAAAAAAAAAAAAAACGAAATGCAATCAAAAGTTGTATTTTAACATCTTAGCTATGAGCGACGGGTTATTATGATGAGATATGACGTAGCTTTGCAACTGTCGGTACAAGGCCAGGAAACGCTTCTCTATTTAAGTTAATTGTAAATCTGAATGTAATGATTCAATGATTCGCTGAAAATGGCCATTACAAGCTGCCGAGTAAAACGGGTGAATTTTCAATCTCTTGGGTCTGTTGCTTTTTATTAAGGCTCTGGCCACGAATAACGATACCATTGCGTTGCAAATGTATTTTCCAATTGTCAAACAGACTCTAGTGGGCTGGCAGCTGGAGCAGTGGGTGGATAGCCTCGTGAACGAGTTCTACGAGATTGTGAGGATATGCGACGCGGGTAAAGAGAGAACGCGAAAGCCAAGGACGATGCAGCGCTGCGAGGCCTCCGATTGGAGTTCACTCGGGCCCGATCCCAAGTCCAACATCGATGGCTTACATTGACTGCCGGTCGTGATACCTGATACTTCATGAGCCAATTGGGAGCCCAACGAAAGCCCAATAATGAACTTCTCGAGCGCGATCGCGGAGGTATTGACGGAGGTGCGTGGAGAACTAGCCGTTAGACGATTATTATTATTGCTTGGATTGTCAAATCGTTAACTGACACTTGTTATGTAAGGAGAGATATTATTAGGTTGCAATTCACACCTTCGTTTATAATTTTTGTATCGTTTAAGAATTTGGATACGTAAATACAGTGGGCCATATAAGACTTTTGGGTAATAATGCCATTGGAGGGACTTTCATTATTGCTGATAATTGAGATAGGAGATTAGAAATAGAGACGCGACGAAAGTTTAGCTTGTGCATTTAAAATATTTTATTGAAACTTGTTTAATGCCATAAAGTCGTGGTGGTTCGATATTTAGAGGTATGAACAAAGCATCGAACCTTATAAAGATTATTCTTTTGCGCCATACAAAATTTCTCCCCAATTCCCAATTAGAAACGACTTGATATAACTTTCTATTAAATTATTTATGAAAGAAATTCGATTTTTCGAAAAAGAATATCAATGAGTTTATTCTACATAGACTATCAAATACAATAAATACACCTCTCGCTTTGCTTTAAGAACGAAAGAATTCACATTAATATTAATAATAATAATAATAACAACAACAACAACAACAACAACAACAACAACAACAACAAGATAAATAATAATAAAAAGAAAATAATGAAAAAAGTAGAGCGGCTGTGATTTAGTATTTTTTAGATTTCGTTCCATTCGTACGCATATGTTTAGTGACACGTAGGCATAGATATATTCATCGACTTTTTCAATTTCTTCTTCGTTTTACGTAAATTACAGGGGGGGGGGGGGCAAAACAATTTAGAATGCAATATAGGCTACGATTTTTATTTTTCGATATTGTAATATATAAAATTGAAATATCCCTATAAAGTTCAATTATAAAGAAAAAAGAAATTATTTTTATCATTAGACTGAGAATTTTTTACTATTGCAAATTCAATAAAATAAATTGCAATCTTAACGTACAAACTACTTATTTAATAATGAATGACAATGTATTCAAAAGCTGTCTGATCAATATATATTTCATAGAAGGATAGAAGGATTAAGGCGATTAATCATATATAATCGATAATTAGTAATAAATAAATACTAATTATTAATTATAATGGTGATGTATATGAATTAAAATTCAATTATGAACGTTATAAATTTAAGCAATAATAAACAAATAAAATAATTCCTTTCAGGTAAATCGAGTTTTACAGACTATAAACGTCTAATATGTTTAGCAATGTAAAAGAATCTAATATTTAGTAATATAAAAAAAAAAAAAAAAAAAATAAAAAAAAATAAACTTTATTTTATATTTTAGATTGAGCCCCGAATACATTCGGACATTCATCAAAATTTATAATTCTACTTCACGTAGAAATTGTTATAGCTTTTCGACGTAGATTTTATTTCCTTAGAGATAGTGATAGAGATGTGCAGCAACTGACACCGATTACGATAATTATATTTTAATTGAAATTAAAAAACAAAATAAAACAAAAACTTTCCATGACGACTATATTGGTTATGATATGATATGATAAAATCTCTTGGAGTTTTCTTCTCCTTAATATCGACAATGATTGATTATAAAAGATGCAGGAATTAATTCTAATTCACAGTTAACTACAATTTATACTCAAAATCAATTATAATAAATACGATAAAACTGTAATACCTTTTTCGATAAACGGGCTGAATAACGGGTATTTTACAGTTTAATAATGCGAAAAATAGTTGAACGGGGAAAGTTCATTATAATATAAAAATACTCACAATAGCGTTTGATATTCTGTACACTTTATCGAAACTATTATCGATAAGATAGGCAAGATAATTCTTCAGTATTATCATGTTTTATATTTCTGATTAATATTATTATACATATACATCAATACTACATTGTGCATATGTGTAAGAATGTGGTATTGATCGCAAGTTTTTCTTTCATCCAATTTCCGTCGCTATCTCTTTCCTAGCTTTTGTCCGTTCCGTTGTTAACTATTTCTTAGCCTTTAACTGCCATTATTTATTGTTATTTGCATATAAATCTAACAGTTAGATCGCAATGCTTGCATTGTTTCGGATTAACGATTTTCGTAAAAGATAAATATTAATAACATTTAAATTATTACATGTATATTTCAAAATTTAAAGTTCGTCTTTAAAATTTGTTACAAAAAAATTAAAAAATTAAAAAAAAACAACAAAAAAAAAAAATCCGTGCCTAAAATTACATTAATTATAATTAAATATATAGATAATTTGATTCGCTATTTTTTCGATCAAAACTTACAATAACATGAATAATTAGGTTTATAATGATTGAAAAAAATATATATTGTTGGGTCATACAAATTGATTTTATGTACAATTGAAAATTATTGTTTATACATCATAAGTAATACAATGTTGAATTGGAAATGATTTCTTTTATAAAACTAACAAATAATAATAATGCTTTATGTTAAAATTACAAGTTGTGACGTTTAATGACATGTGATGTATTTTATGTAAGAAAACTGCAATTTTAATATTCACCTTAGAGTATATTCATAAAATTATGTAGATAAAAATCGTCATTATTATTAATGAAAATGAAAAGAGATAATATTTTAATAATCGAATGGATTTGTGACGAGAGTCGCTCATCTATTTATTACAATAGCAAAACAAAATAAAAAAAAAAATTGTTAATCGAGTAAAAAGTTACGTTTGCCTCCGCTTATTCTCTCTATTATTACAGTGTTTTAAGAATTTGTAAATATTCAAGCCAAAAATTTGCCTATTGGCAATTTTTTACTTCATCAACTTTAAAGGATAATATTTATTGTATACACAAGCACTAGTTAGTATTCAGTTTTAAATATTAAAATTTGATATGAAATAAAAGATTTTCTATCGATGTTTGCATCAGTCTAAGTTTATTTTCTTTATAATCGAACGTTGTTCAAAAGTGCATGTTGTTAAGTAATAGACAAACATTTTATCCACCGATATAATTTAATTCAATTTATTGTACTATGTATTAAGACCAAAAACAAAAAACAAAACAAAAAACAAACAAAAGACAACAAAAAAGAAAGAAAAAAATGTACAAAAATATATAATTATAAGGGAATTATAAAGAAAATTTACAATATGAGACAAGCGAACATCGTTTGTCTTGGACTGAATAATAATTAAAGTCATTCAAATCATACGATGATCTCTATGGGACAATAAGTTTAATGTTATAACGATACTTTTAAGTATTCCTTACTTTTATTTGCTTCCCATCATTCTATAAAACAATTGAATATTAAATTTGCATAATAACGAAATTTTGAAGATTTTGATGTAATTTTTGACTTTTCAAATGTTCTTTTCAATTCTGCGCTTCTTTAAAGTTTAATATGATTATACAAATTGTCAAAAATTTTCACTTATATTGAGACGCAACGTTGTGAAAACAATGCTTAATAAAGTGATCATTAGGAATTCACAGAAAACCCAAGTATTTATTTGTCAAATAACGTGCCATTCCTTATACTCGCTGCGTATGACGCATATTTATAAAAGATATATATATATATATATATATATCGAGAGAGAGAGAGAGAGAAACAATCATGTTTAATCGAATATTTTTATATTACAAAACACATGTACATTTACATTAAATCTTAATAAATATTTGCGATGGATATAAAGAGCTGATTATATTCGACGTATGATAAAATTTAAAATAATGTTCAACTCTTTGATAAAAGAAAAATATTTTATGTCTATATTATTGACGTGTACATTTGAAACTTGATAGAAACATACTAATTTTCAACAAAATTGAAAACAAAAATTATTACTTATTAAGCTGTAACAAAACTGCGATACTTTTACATAATAAAATCTCCAAAGATTAACCTCTACATGAATTGTATATTAAATAGATAATGTTTGATCTGTAACTCATGTAAATACTTTATTTAAATAAAAATAATAAGTAGCGAAAATTATCTCATTTTTATACATATGGATAGCTATTATATTATTCCTTACCTTTATTATAAAATAATAATTATATAGCGCATAAAGTTAAGAGCTTCTTTCCAAAATAAATAAATACTTCGAATAATTAATTTAATCTTTAATACGTGAATGATTGGTTAATTGAGGTTTCCACTCGTATTTCAAACAATGTTAACAATGCATTTAAACAGTCCATTATATGTAATTTATTGTTAATATTATTTCAATCTCATATAATAACTAACATAATGTTTACGCTTTATTTTGAAAAGTAGAATTTCGTAATGTCGTAAGGGAATAATTGTCGATTAATAAATTAAAAGTCATTAAGCGGCTGAATTTGGATTTATTTTGAAAGTAACTCTGCGATGTGAAACAAATGACTACTAATAAAGTGCGAGATATTTTTATAATTAAATATATTGTATAGACAAGTAAAAAGCTTTTACACGACGTTGGCCAACGTAAGGAATGTAAGGGTAAGGGTCTTAAGGGTGGGGAGGGGAATATTACAAGTATAATGAGCGCGTGTGGCACTGTATAATACAATTTGACATAATAATATTTACCATTATTGTATAATTAATTAATAGTGATAAAATTAAGGAAAGGAAAGATAGAGTTGGTAATAAAATTGATGTGACAAGTGATATAAGTGCGAATTCGATTCGCGCAGCCATGACAAATTTTTTCTCGCTAACGCTTAAATGATCACAAATTCGTTGCAATACGAATACGAGAGTAGGAGTCATGTTATTAAAAATAAAATCGAGCGCAATATTTGAATGTCAATCTTACAATAATCTTATAGTTGTCGCATTAAAATGGAAAATTCGATTCATTAATAATAATCTATCCGAGAGCACATAATGATAATTTCAACGTACGACTGGGGACTACATAAATTTCATATTGGCAAGATATGGAAAATTTCGACTGCACTGATTATAACAAGGATAGAATTTTCAGCAAAAACGTCGGATTAAAATAGTTTAGAAAAAATTCTTTTCCGATATTCCTATCTATATGTATATATGTATATATATATATATATATATATATATATATATATATATATATATATATATATATATATATATTGCACGCTTACATCTTTCTCAAATAAATTTCCATTGAGTAATAATACATAATACATAATAATTAATATAAACTAATTAATAATAATAATAATAATAATAATAATAATAATAATAATAATAATAATGAGGGAGAGTATAAAATGGGAAAATAATGTACTCGAGGAGGGAAAGGCTAGGGAAAGGTCTGTCTCGAAGAACTCGAGTAAAAGAGAGTGGGAACCAGAAGGGAGTAGTGGGGAGAGAGAGAGAGAGACGGACACTTGATAGAGATAAAGTCAAGAGAGCCCTCCTCTCGTGAATTTTTGTGCCGAGACCACCATGGGTTTTAGGTAGGTCCTTAATCTCATCCTCGTCCTCTTCCTCCTCATCCTCCTCATCCTTATGGTTCTTCTTGGACGAGACTGAGCTTCGGACGCAGAGCTGCCGGAAGCCATCAGACGTCGCCGTTCCGGACGGCTATGGGAGCGGCGGCCGACATCGGGGGGCCCGCATTCGACGATGACCACTTGTTCTTGTGAGGGTCGACCCCGAATCCCTCGTCGTAATTACCTCGCGTGATGAAAAGCTGCTTGAAGTGCGGGATGCAGTAGAGCTTGCCATTGTTCAGCGTGAACGTGTCCATTCTAGGAAGAAGATAATGGGAAGCGACTTAGATTGTGTCATAATCACCCAGTAAGCGTCCAGTCACGACGACGACGACGACGACGACGACGACGACGACGACGACCGATGCTTAATAAACACTCTCTATCGTCGACTTTTCAACTTCGGCTTTTAACGTGTAAATAGTTGCTTTTATTGATCTTTTTTGTCTTTTGCTTTTTAAGTGAAGTTACGGGGAAGAAATGCTTCGACCATTAATTAATTGTCTAACGTATATCTCCTATAATTCGCGACTATTGATCGGAAACGAGGTGATAAGCATTTAACCATGTAATTATGTACGATGTTGAATGTCAGTCTTTTATTCTATTTAAATTTTTAACAATTTACTTGCGTCGTAGCTGTACATTAGCCATTTTTTTTTGTGTGCGCGTGTGCGTGCGTGTGTGTATCATTATTTTCTATATAAGAGTATCGAATAGTTCGAAAATTTGCACGAGAGAGGGTGTCAACGAAAGCAGCTCCTCCTGCCAGCAAATATTATTCTTCCTGTATGTAACGTGCGTGTTTGACAAATTTTTTACAAATATTTTCTACCGTTATAAATGGTAAAATGACCGCGATATTGTTGGAAAATAATTTTCAAGGCGAAAATTAAACGAATATTACACGTTTGTTTTAATAATCGCGACAAGCTATCGAATGACCGTCAATAAATATTAAGGAAGTAATATCTTTTCAATATTCGCAAGCAATAACAACTCCATAGGCATAACTATTTATTAATAGCATTGATAGTTGGAGTACCCGAGGCAATTAATGAGAAAATTCTTTTATTTGCTTTCTAATTTATGGAAAAGCTATAAATACCTTAAGATGCAATTGCATTGTAGACACCGGAAACACTGTTTGTGAAAGATCTTGTTGTTTGTCTCTACCTTTTCAAGGGGATAAACTTTCTTCTCGCAGCTTTCACATACGTCCATGCAGTTCGTTTGAATTTCCTATTGCAATGTTAAACAATAATAATAAAAAGAATAACAAAACAAAAAGTCGGTAAAATGATAATTGGATAATAAACGTTTTCAATTACGTTTCTCTCACTCTTAAGCTTTTGATAATAATAGAAACTAATGTATAATACGTGAATGTGAATTGGAAGAAAAAAAATGGAAAAGAAATTTTTCAGTCACGTACTATCATTAAAAATTAAATTATTTCTCTTTGTATTTCATTGTTTTTACATTGATAAATCATAAAAATGTATGTAGCTGCGTATGATCGTATGAATGGATGAATTAACAATAAGAATCCAATAATTTAACGACAAAATTATGCGACATAAACAGAATAAATAAGTTTAAGAAAAAGATCAATGGAATGAATTACAATTTTAATTTTATTGAGAAATATCAGTTCGACCCTCAAAAAACCGATCTTTGCTTCTTTTCTTCTCACCACAAGTTGTCAGTGCGTGTCGTACAATATTACACGTAAATATTACACGTTACGACAAGTGGCGTAATACAATATTTTTTTCTTTTTGTGTTTTATTTATTTTTTTGTTGTTGTTCATGTTTGTATTGTTGTTGTTTTTTTTTCTTCGTTTTTTGTTTCTATTGCTTTTTCGGTTTCAGGGGTTATGCAACAAAACGCAAACGCACGAGTTACACGTAAGTTAATAATCGCTATGTATAAGGGATGAGACTTGGATTATATTATATCCTTTCCTTTAAATTATAATTTAGGACAAACAAACTTAGGACTAATGTAGATTTGCAGATTCTCCTTAAAGATTAAAAGAACTATCGTCAAAAATGCATAATTTGCGACTTGAGATTAATGTCCATGTTCTTCAATAAGCGCATTGATGTGAATGCAAATGTAAATTTTCTAGTCGTACAGACGATGCAAATATATATATAAAAAAAAAATTTTTCAAATGATGGGTTAACGACTGAGTGAAATGCGATATAGACAAAGTGTGTGTTTATTATATTGCGCGAGACCCAAGTTTATGGAATTACAGTGCTATATTGAAATATAAAACTCCCATGATATTACGAAATTGCATTAGTTTGGAAAATAATTATAAGAATGTAATGTAAATAACATGATCCAACCAAATGACCGTTGACTTACATAGATTTAAACCGCTCATTTAATCGAATCATTCAAATTTGATATCTAATAAGGATGAAGCGATTAGAATTTATAAATTGTATAGCTATTAACGAATGTAGAGATGAGCATTCCAATCAATTTCACTCAGTTGATAATAAAGGCCACATCATCAACAATCAATAGTGATAATTCAATAATAGACCAAGAATCGATAAGAGTTCGATGAATTTTTCTACCGTGGTGGGGTCCTTAAAAACTACGCCAATATAGTCAGATTAAAATATGTATTAAGCATTTTCACAATATTCTCGACATTATAGGTAATTCATTGAGTTTATGTGTTTTTGAAAGCGACAAAGTTACATTTTCAAGCTGTTATGTCGAAATTGATTCGCGCATCATCGACGTCGATTAGAAAAATAGAAAGAAACGAAATTTTCCTTTCAATATATACTCTTCTTATCATCGCCTATTATAATTCGTTTGGTCTTTCGAATACTTTCACATACACTTCAGCGTACAGTTCACATACATTCATCGTACAGTTGTATTATTAAAATATATGTCGATGCGATGTCCAATGTTAGTTATGACAATTAAATACATACTCTACGCGTATTTATTTGCTATGTACGGCTTTGTTCTTTGTGCTTTGTCGTTAGTGTTGGCCAAAGTCAATGGATGGTAAACTCAATGGATTTTCCGGTGCTTTTATACTTGTAGAAAATTTTACGAAATCTATTTCGCGACGTACGCACAACAGCGCAGTTAAAATATCTTCTTCTTTTAATTCAGACTATTGTAGAGTTATATATTCTTTTATTTGAAAATATGTATAAAACCTCTTAAAAATTCATACAAACAGTGCCATTATTAGATTGCCTATAAAATTGTATGTACTATTTTTTTCGCTCAGTCATTTGATTATCATTAAAAACTGGTTTATTAATGAAGAGACATCGAATACGGACATACACGGGCCTGTTTCACCGGCATTTTTTTTTTTTTTTTTTTTTTTTTTTTTTTTTTTTTAAATGATTATTAACATTCTTTTTGATGATTATTATTAGATGCCAGTGTTCTTAAATAGAATTTTTCCCGTCGGTACTTTGAAATGCTTTGAAAGCAACTCAATCATTAATACGATAATAGAAAGGTAAAAACATCATGTAAATAGAATTGCATTTATCCATTGTTTATTTATTACGTTTTTTTTTTGTACACGGGCCTGTTTCACCGGCATTTTTTTTTTTTTTTTTTTTTTTTTTTTTTTTTTTTTACATAAAATAAATGAAACTGTCAAGAAAATAATGAAAATTTATATAGAGTTACGATAAATGTCGGCGATAAAGGCATTTTTCTTTCTTTTTTTTTTTTCTTTTCTTTGCTCTGTGAACACGGTGAAAGGGCATATTTGCGAGAAAACGAGAAAATGTTCTCGAGTCTATTCGACATTGTACTTGGCACTATTAAGTTCGAAGACTGGACTGTGTTATCATTGGATATCGCGTATATATAATTAAAAAATTATTCTTTTTACAGGTGTAAAATTCTTTGTCGTCACTACCACCATACTGCTTGTATGCCCTACATATGTTAGTTAATACATGTATATCTGGTTTTATTATTTCCTTACTTGTGTTCGTTCTCCCTCGCGCGCGCGTTCTTTCTCAACAAACCTGACCACAGATCATTAATTACTTAAGTTTTTAATTTGCAGGGGGTTTTGCAGGTTCTTCGACATTTCTAAAGAAAAAACTGCTTTAAACGTTTCTTTAAATTCATAAAATTCATAAAATTCATAAAATTCATAAAATTCATAAAATTCATAAAATTCATAAAATTCATAAAATCCGCTAAAAACGCACAACGTTCCAAGTTAAAATCATCTCTAACAACTCAAAGAACGCCATCTATATAATATACTAATATCCAGAGTTGGGCATTTTTAATTGTTCAACGAATCCAAGTCATTATGATAAAATTAATCCAACGATCGTCGTATCCAACGACATTGATGTTTGCGCTGTAGTCGTACTGTTTATTAACCGACTACATGTGTTACACACAATTATACTTAAAGAATCTTCCAATTGGACTCTTTTAATAATATGTAAGTGAATTTGAAAGGTCTGTTAAATGGTGATCGATGAATTGAAATTGCATTACGTGATTATTCATTGATCAATTGTCGATGGGCATGGTTTTGCATATTGATTTGTTTCGTACTGAATGTGTGAAAGCATTGTTAATGAAACAATTTTCATGGATAATCATATTAGAATTGGTAAGATAATCAGCAACATCGGAATACAATTGTAAATCGATCGTCATTTTTATTTACATAGAGTATAATGGCTTGTTGAACGTTTTCGAATGTGATTTGGCTCTCAAAATATCTTTCTTAATTTTCATAAGAGGAAAATCATTGGTAAGGTTGTAATAACTTAATACATACAAAGTTCTATATATTTCATTAGATGTAAGTGACACCGCGTGATTACATTCCCAGTTAATTAATAAATAAGAGAGAGAGAGAGAGAGAGAGAGAGAGAGAGAGAGAGAGAGAGATAAAACAATACAAAACAAAGCAAAAATACAGGTAGATAAATGTTTGCATAGATAAAGTAATTAATCGCTTCGAGTACTGCATCGTTAAATTACGTAACACTTAAATTCATTCGAAAGCCATATAAAACATTATTAGGAAATTAAGATAAATAAAGTATTCGTAGAGGTAATTAAAAAGGTCCAACTCTGCTAATATCATTTCGTAATATAATAATTAATTATTATAACATAATTGTAATCGCGATAATCACTATCGTAATAATAGTAATAATAATAATAATAATAATAATAATAATAGTAATAAGAATAATAGTAATAATAGTAATATCAATAATCAATTAATTGTAGGTAATCGCTTTAAGGCTGTGCAATGATACGTGTCTTATGTATACATTTGGAGGCCGTAGGTTCTTATCTTCTTCTCTCTTCAATAATTGCACGTTCTATCGTAAATAGAGGTTGCAACAATATGACTTCCCACGCGTATGTGTATTTGATGATGTTTTTGGGTATGATCCTGGGGACGTCGCTCTTTCTCTGTTTACTATCGCCCGGCCGCAAAAACCTCTTCCGTCTCATTTCCAGTCTTGCAGAGGTCGATTACTGCTCGTGTCGAAAACATCACACGTAATTATCGATAATTTGAAATCAGGGGTTATGGGTACACACATCTTTCTCACTCTTTTTTTTTTTTCTCTCTCTCTTTATATCCCTGTCTAGTTTTTCCCGTTGCCACTGCATGCGCACGCACGAACGTATTTGTAGACTCGTGTATATTTTTTCCCCGTTATTTCTTTTATTTGTTCGTTTGCTTACGTGCATGCGTGTTCGTGCGTGCACAGGCGCGCGCGCGCGCGCGTATATGCAGAGGCGAAAAAAAGGAGACAGAAACTTTAAGCGACAGAAGTAGAGAGTAGCGACAACAACGACGACGATGATAAAACGACAAGCAGGTGTTATAATACATACATTCCAAGGGCTTTTAGGCCTTAAGTAGACGCTGAAAGGCGCTTTCTCCCTTTAACCAAAGTTAGCTCCTATTTTTACACTATCCTCTCAAGGTTAATCGATACTTTTAACTGCCGCTTTTATTCACAATTTTACACAATTAGAATTGACAAAATAGAAAATTTTTATGATCATTTTGCAACTAAGTTCTCGATTTACTTTCTATATAGCGCACAGTAATGTCAACAATACCATTTATTTCAATCGAATACCATAATAAGTCTTGCAATTATTTAAGGTGAATTGTTTAAAAAAGAGAAGAAAAATTTGGAGCTAACTTTAAGTTAAATAAAAATTAATATATATATATATATATATATATATATATATATATAGGGAGAAAGAATAGAGCCATTCAATAGATAAATTAAGGAAGGTAATAATACAAATTATTAAAATTAATAATCATGCCAGGCGGTCGACACACGAACTCATGTAATTCACAAAACTAATAAAATAAGCGAAGAGACTGTTGAAATAAATTAAATCAAATAGTAGTGTCACATTAGCATCGAACGAACATATAAAAATAATAATTGAAACTGAATATTATAATAAATAATACATACACACGAAAACATGTACGTGCATTCTTGAGGGTCAAACAATAAAATGTTGCATGTCACTTTATTAAAAAAAAGTTATCCGAACGTGTTGGTTAACATAATTATTATAAACATGGATTACGTTTGAACTAAATTATTATTAATAGTAATAATAATAATAATAATAATAATAATAACAATAATAATAATAAATAATAATAAAAAGTTTAATAAAATAGACATTTAGGTGAATACTTCATTAACGCTAATTAATGTAAGTTAATAATGTTTTCATAAACACCGTGCAGAAATATATTATTCACATGTTTTTAAACTAACGGTTTATCGTTACGGGAAAAAGGTTTGAAAGGATCCCGCAGCCGCTCTACCCACAATAATTGCCATACAGCAATTAATCAATTCCATTCATCCGATTGTAAATATTGATGAAGGTGAAGGCTCGGCAGTCGATAAAGTAGAAATCAATGCTGATGCGCGTCGAGGCCAAAGATCGGCGCGGGGATCCCCGTACAAACATTTTCCACGAGTACAGACTAACCGAGCCGTTCGAACGACTAAGGATGGAGAAAAACAAGGAGTATCGCACTCACCACAAATCGATTAACCTTAACTTTGGCGGCCCGAGGCGACTCGACGGGTTGCGAGCCCAGGGACTCGAAGCGGGCCCTGAGGCTGCTCGCCGACTCGATACTCGGCTGGGAGCCGTCGGTCGGGGCCATGTCCATCTCGGCGACGTGGTGATTGTTCGTCTTACCGTCTGTCGTCTCCCACTGCTCGAATTTCGCGCGCAGAGTCTTGGCGCGCGCGGCGTTCTGTGCCGATTTCAGGAACTCGTCCTCCACCTGAAACACATCCCGAGACCGGTCCATTCCAGTTTCATCACCAGTCGCGCTCACGCTATTACGAGATTTAGGAGATGAAGGAAGAGCAGCGTTGAAGGAGTGGGGTAAGGTCGTGGGGGGGGGGGGGGGGGGGGGGGGGGGGGGTTAAAGAATTGGAGTAGGGGACCGCGTGTTGGTTGATGGATGACAAATGTAATTTGGCGGTCGACGATGGAAGACGCGAATATCCTCCTCACAAGGTTGGCTGTATGACGATTTTATTCAATTTAGCGAGTAAATAATGTTATCATAATTATACGTTGATCGTCTATGTAAATATTTAATAACTCGGTGGACAGGCGAATTGTAAATTTATTTAAGAGCATAATGAAAATTTCATAGGAATAAATCATTATTTCCTACGAATAAAAAGTGCCGGTATTTATGATAATTCTTGTTGAGGAGGAAAGGAAGGGTAGAAGTTTGACAAGTCGACATTTTATCAATGAATTGACAAACAATAAAATGCAATTATACCCAAATAGCGTTTGATTATCTTTATGATAATTCAACATTTTATCGCGTACCGATGAAAATGTTCCTCGCGATTTATTGTCCTTGTCCTGTGGCCATATTTCATGCACTTATTCAAAGTGATTTTTCATTAAAAAAAAAAAAAAAAAAAAACCAATCACATAGTGCGAGTAGCTAAGGTCAGTCCGATCGTTTTTTACTTTCGCCAAATATTGCTCGATAGGCCGTTTGAAACTTAGCAGGTAAATTACAAGATATAATGACAGGCGAATGATTATCGATGTAATAACAAAATCCCGTAGCTCTACCGCACTAGACAAAGCGCGTCGTAGGAAAAGTAGGAAATAATGTTACGAAAATTAAATTGTAGCGAAGCGAGTTTACCTTGTCGGAAGCTCTCACGTAATTCGGATTGTGCTCCTCGTCTTCGGACTCCTCGGCTTCGTCCTCTTCCTCGTCCGAGTCCGAGGCCGTGGCCTTGGCGAACTTATCCTCAGGCGGTGGCGTGAATCGCTTCAGGGGCTTCGGGCCATCTGGCAGATCTTCCTTCGTCGCGTTTTCCTCCATCTGTCGGAATATGGAGAGCATCTTGCGAGCGGTGTCCGTGTGTACGACTTCCTCGGCACGATCCTCGGCACGCACGACATCCGGGTCTCGGTAGATCTCGCGATCCGGCGAATCCATCTGGGCCGTAAAATAACGGAGGCTCTTTTGATTAATGTCGTAGGTAATTGCAGATCGCATTTATCTTTGGGACGAACGGAGCTTTTGGAATTTGGCATTCCAATCGAGTGGCAATAAGAGGCCGTTAACTGGCTCTAAACACCTTTCTCAAAATGTCACGCCCACACATTGCACCAGCCTTGATTGAGTTTAAAAATTTGGTGTTTATTAGCAAATCTTCGTGGTTTAGAACGTCTTTAGTGGGCGTTTATAAATTAATTGATTAGAATGTTCTCTCCGAGTCGTTAAGGTGAGTAACGTTAGTTGGGCAAATGGGATGCGATTAGATTTTTCTTTAGGACGGCGATGAGCGGAGTGGGGCGGGGAGGGGTCGGCGTGGGGGGGGGGGGCACAGATGGAGAGGCACATCATATCGTCCCTTATGACTAATTTTTCCTCAACTGGACGATAAAATGTATTGTTACAAGCGGCTATGGATAGAGGGAATAAAAATAAAGTGAAAATAATCGTTCCCTCGCCGTACTTTTTCACTTTATTTATTCTAAACGAATGTGTAATTCGTGTTATTTAGATGAAAACGCAATGTACAACAATAACGTGCGAGTTTCCGAGGACAAGATAATGCGGGAGAGAGACAGAGAAAATTTAGTCAAATTAATTAACCGTACTCTCCACGCTTATACTATGTCCTTCGTCGCAACTTTTTCAAGCGTAATTTAATTCTTTTTTTTTTTTTTTTTAACAAAATAAAATACATGCTCACACAAGCTAACACTGTATAATAAACAACAACAAAGTAAATACGATATAATACGAAATGATACAATTGTAATACTTGTTAGTTTGAACTTAAAAAAACACTCGTTTCAATATGCTAACAGCACAAAGACTTATATTGTAAAGAAAGATTCTATGACATTTTATGGGTTGTGGGGGGTGGGGGGGGGTGGGGGGAATAAAGAAGATCGAATAACCAATTCGGTAGTGCCACCGGACGTTTCTCCAATATCAAATTTTAAATATATACTTTGATCGAACTACCAAGTGCTATTGAACAGAAGGAAGAATTTGTTGTTTTTACACCATATTCATCCATCAATGTCGATTAAACTTTGATTAAAATTAGAAATTGGCATAAAATTAAGATAAAAGCCAAGTAAATAAATAAATAGTCGCTCGATTACGGTTAACTTTAACTTTTGTAATTGGAAAGCTCGTTAAAAGTATCGCCGCTATTCAAACGACGAGTAAAAAAAAAAAGAAATGAAAAGAAATGAAAAGAAATGAAAAGATAGATAGGTAGAAAGAAAGCAAGAAAGAAATAAAGAAATAAAAATATAGCAAAGAATGCTTTTTCATTGTTTTAAAAGTTGCGCACAAATACATCCAAATACAATAAAAAGTTGTGGTTAGCATCGCGATGGACTTATAATTGGGCTGCTATACAAAGCCTGAAGTTAGAATAAAGAGATTTTAAATAATGGTCTCTCTCTCTCTCTCTCTCTCTCTCTCTCTCTCTCTCTCGCTGTGTGAAAAAGTGTGCAAAAGCCTTACTCGACAGCAGATAATGTGCGCGATAAAGAATCGGCTCTGTGATTGGCGACAGCTGCAGGTAGTCGCGTTGCGCAAAACAACCGCATAATCAACCGATCGCTAATGAGTTAATGAAGAGAGCGTTAAACGCAAACGTACAATTTACTCTTTATCGAATGGCCGAAAGAAATTTCCCAGGCCAGTATCTCCTTTTTTTTCCCCCTCTTTTCTCTCTTAGTCGCCGCCTCGTGAAAAAGTCCGCGGATCGGCATTGTTTCATCGATTTATAACCAGCTCGCGCCTCATAAAGCACCGTTCCCTCGGTTTCTCCGCTTTTTAAAAGTCAAATACAGATGAGATGCAGCAACGGTACTCACAGCTTGAATACCTAAGCTAAATCAAGCCGCCAGCGGCACATCTGCTCCTTTCGGCCCACTCGATCCTCGATTCCGTCCCCTAAAGTCCACGGCCAAACTCTCCAATCCCGAGCCCATTGACTTATGGTAAAATTACACGGCGAACCAAATTGCCACCCGCGCTTTCGCACTGTGTTATTCTGGTCGAAAGCTCTGCTCGTGCAAGCTCCTGCTTCACCCGTTACCGAATACGCCAGCTAATTAGGAGCTAACGAGGAGGCGGCATGACAATAGTCCAGAATCCTTATCACTTGGCTCGTCAATTCGCTCGTTCATGATCGAACTTACTAATCGTATCGATCGATCATTCGTAAAAAGTGTTTTTTTTTCTTCAACGTTTCAATACCTCGCAATGGTATCGAAATTTTGCATTTAACGATTGCCAACGCCCGTGGCGAATAAAGAACCGCCAGTTATTTTCCATTTGTAGCTTTCTCCGCCTTTATAACTCTTCGAGGAAATTTTATTGAAACTGTAAAGTTTAACGGCTAGTTAAGCCGAGTGCAAATGCCAAAATGCCTTCAACAAAATGCAAATAGTAAATAATGGAGAGGCCTGTAACAATTTTTATAAAGTAGAATTAGAATTTTAGAGGATTATTGTGCTCTGTTATATTCCTATATTATGATTATTATTCGTATGGATTGTAATAGTGGCCGGTTTAACGGATTAGTGAGCAAGTACTTGAAAATTAGTTTTATTTCTAAAGAAAAAAGGAAGAAAAAAAGAATCAAATCGAATGCAATTAGTCGGTATATTTCATCCTTAGAAATTTAACATTAGAAATTATATCTGATCATTTATCCTTTGCCATGACTCGCCAAGACATGACTCCGCGGAGAAAATAACACGAATTTGAAAATATTAGACAAACAGTGGAGAGGCGACGCGGTATTCCATTAAAGCCTTGTCGTCGTCTTATTGTAATCGCTTAATCGGATGAATTTCTTCGATACCGCGATTAATATCTTTCGACCATGCCTTTACCAAATCGAGTAGCCGCGTCTTCGTCCTACGCCTATCATACAAGGATCGGTAAGGGAGCCGTGCGCGTTACTTTCTCGCTACGAAGTTTTCGGCGCGTTTTCAATCGTAAACGTCACGGCGCAGAGTTACGAGCGCCACGTGAGCCTCGTGTTTTTTCATTCTCGAAGAAACCGAGCGACAAGGGTAAAAGGAGAGGCAGACTGTCTCATAAACATCTGGCCTGGCGGATAAATAAATACAGTGATAACGGGGGGGGGGGGAACTGAACGCGACCGATAGAGCGATTCTTCGCGCGAGCGCGCTTATCTTTCGCGAGCCTCGCGGCTTTTTGCTGCGTAGCCACGTCAGAAATGTCGGCCGGTTATGTTCGTCAAGGGGTTGGTGGTGATGGTGGTGGTGGGGGGGGGGCACACCGATACCATCACTAATTTTCTTCTCTCTTCCACTCCCTTCTCCATGCTTCGATCGTCCCCCCCCCCAATACACACACGCGCGACCTACTACCGCCCCGCTCCTGGTCCCATAGCGCCAACTCTTTTTACCAACTGTTATGGTTCTTCATATTATTACTATTATTATTGTTATTATAAACCGCTGACTGTATTATAATACAGCGTAGACGTGTGTTTACGTAGACCAGCTTTGCGCTCGCGGCAACTCACGAGTCGATCGTGCGAGTTATCCATCCACCAAGCGACTCTATGAATCGTGGGAGGGCGCGTGACGGGTGGGTGTCGGGGATTGGGGGGGGGGCGAAATAGCTTAGAGGATGTATCGACGCCATACGTTTGAGGGCTCACACGGTGGGCTTCTTCTTTCTCATTCATCGCCTACTGCTTTGGCTCAATTTTCAAAGCTACGGGGCTCCGTGTTGTTACGATGATTAAGATCTGGTTAGCGTCGGCGTTAAAGGCTCTTGTTTCGTTAATACAATCATCGCTAAGAGTTTGACTGGAGCCTCGTCGTCCGATGCGCGGGGGTGACTTTTATGTGTTAACACCAGCTATTCTCGCGGAATGGCTGGCTCAGACGTCTGCGCCGCCTTTCTCAGCTTCTTGAAATTTAATTACTCCTTTTTACGCGCTACGGAGCGGCAATATAATTTTGGAACTGAAATAAAGCCGAGTGGCTAAGCGCCTCCAGTTTCTTATTTTCTCCACGGCTAAAGTTTAATGCTGATTTAATCGGGAATACGTTGCTGATTGCTTAAAGCCGACCGGCACGGCAAGCTATATTGCATAATTTCAACCATGACTTGGCCATTAACAACGAGTCCAATATTAACACGATTATATTAATAATCAAATAAATGTTCGACGATGTGACAACAAAAGTTCCGCAACTGCTGTAACGCCGATATTTCTGGTGAAATTAACGAATGATGCTTTAGAATCGTTTGCGTCAGTTTGCCAAGCTTTGTGAATAATTAGCCGAGGGATTTTCAAATGCAAAATGACGTTCAATCAGGATAAGAGAAGAGCGAAAAATGTCAGAAAATACTTACATAATGTCGAAAATATCCCTATATTATCAGAGACTTGACTAATCGTTAACAAATAGCCGCCTTACTCGTTGATGGTTGTGATTTTAGAATTTTGCGCTCCTCAATTAATCGGATTAATTAGCAAACGGCTGGTGAAAGAGGAGCACAGAAAACTTTCAAGTGTTATAAGAAGTTGGAAAGTGGAGATCCCGAGCACCGATTTACACACTTTATTGTGTACGTACGAGGTTTTTTACACACAGTACATTCTTTGTTTCTTTGTGCGTATGCGCATTCGCGTTATTAAAAACTACCGTCTGCATTAATTGCAAGATCGATTTTCTATCCCATTCGCATATTTTATCTCATATTTTATCTCATATTTTATCTCTTAATCGTGCAGTTTAGTAATGCCAATATTGTTCTAATGTCATCGGGAGTTAACGATCGCGCAATTAACGCATAAGCAACTTGGACTGCACAGGTATCCTTAAAAATTTCGCTCTCCCTCAACGCGAGCCAGTGCCGATTATAATATTATTCGCCGAAAATCGGTCGAGGGCCAATCCTGTGCTTTGCAT